TGACAACAATTAAATGGGTTCCGCCGTCAATTAGTGGCCTAACGACTGCAAGCATGCCCGGGCCTCATTAGACACTCGCACACGCACACATACACATGTATATGCAATATTTTAAGTTCGTTTTATTTGCACAGAGGCTTGATGTATCTCAAGTCGGAGACAAGGAGACGGTCGAATGAAGTTGAAAGCCAACTAGGAGCCGATACGGCTTCCAAAGCATGTGGGTGTTGGAGGGTTGGGGCCAAGATGAGAAGAGCAAGTCCAGTCCAGAAGCAAGTGTTCTCAGGCAAGGAAGTCCCAATGTGTATGCAAGTGAGCTCGAGCTGGACAAAAGTGGCAAGGGGTAATGATGATAATGCCCATTTCTGCATATGCTTCCCATTTAAGGCTCAAGTAATCAGCATAAAATGGGTCAAAATACCTGGTCGAAAATTCATCGTGTGAGGATACTTCTCGCTTGGTTCTTGGACGACTGTCTTGAGGCAAGATGATGTTCGGAGTGAAGAGACTGGATCGAGACTGCATAACTCTTGGACTCGCAAGAAATAGCTTGTCATTGTAGACAGACTCTTCGAAATCCAGAACAGAAACCAAGAAACCTGCTGATACAACTTCGGTATGAAGCCTAAGCAGAGCTTGCATAATGGTGAAGTCAAATTCATCAGGGAAACCTGATTTTGCTAAGTTCTTATGCTCATTACTTAGACAAGAGTCGAACCCAGATGGTGCGACCTTAGAAGGCGGCACACGGCAAGCATTACGGCATGCCATGGTAGAGATTGACTCTGAGGGGGGCATACCAGTTTTGGACAATGGGGTCAACAAAATCATATTCGAGAAGGGAATAGTTGCAACAGAAAAGCATCAGCTTGATGCAAGTGAGCATCATAGTCTCCTCGTTGTGAGTATAGAGGTCATAAGTTTCTCAGGTCGGAAGTCATGGTAACCAGAGGTTAGGAGGCCCGTAGAGCAGAGCGAGAAGAGGGGTCTTGCTACAGAGTCTTTAGCCATTTTAAAGGGAAATACTCAGTTGTCAAGCCTATCCTAAGTCCAAGGCAAAATGGCAAAACAAGGAGTGCAACTCACCGTGAATCAGCTCCGAATTGTGCGAAAAGCAGAGCTCAATGCGGCCGTTCTGCGGAAAGATGGGATCTAATGGAGAAAAATGGAAAACAATACCAAGTCGTTATGATAATTTAGTAAAAAAATCCAAAGCTAATCCTCTTAGATCTTTTGAAACTGAGCCAGTTCAATCGAAACGAATCCGCTGACGGAGTTGTCAATGTGTCAAAGACCCACAAAGACGCCAATGAGCAGCTTGTAGACTTGTATGGTTAATGATGGCAGTGGTTGATCGGACCAGAAATGATGAAGAGCTTTGGCTCAGCTAGTCTATTTTTATTCCATACAGAGTAGGCGGTACTATGAAATCTGTCAGCCTTTTCTCCAGGGTTTTAGGCAACAGCCTAAATCATACCTACCTTCATTTGAAAATGGTGTTGGCAACTAGGCGATTTCAAATCTAATATTAATTTTCATAGATCTGGCATAAGCTTATGACGAGTTAGATTCAGTCTAGGAGCACTCCATTAAGGATCACCATGTCCGATCGGCACAAAAGTGCATGTGCTTCCAGCCAGAGCTCCAAATAATTGATAATGACTGACATAATCAACAATTTGAATCTCATAGCCAAATAGTTTATCTTTTTCCTCCGCGTTTAGCAGCTTTAAGGTCAAAGAAAGTGAGTTGCATTTGTTTTGTGGCAAACAGCTGAACTGCATTACGCCTCTGAGTGAATTAGGTTTAATCACCCAAAGCGACTATCCATTACCAAGACAACGTATAAATAATACACTTGCTACTCACATACGTATTAAGTAGTAATATTTGCGCGAACGGCATTAATACATAAATGGACAAAACATCTCATATAACTGATTTACTGGTAGTCTCGAGACTCTACTTATACGCGAAAATTAAATGATGTTGTCGATTGTTATGGTAAAAATACATTTTCTTCATTGATAATCCCGCCAAAGAATGTGATATGAGAAAAAGCCTGGCCTTCCATGAAATTCACGTCTGCCTCGTGGCCCAAAGCAAGCGTGGCAATGAGGCCGAGTGGGTAACGTGTTAAGCTCACATGCTACATTGTCACGGTTCGACTCGCACTGGGCGTGTAGATAAGACCTAGGCGAGGTCGAAACTGCAGTCCACTTTTGTCTGGATGAGAACAACTTTTGGGAAAGCAAGGCTGTGTGAAATTTAATGTAAACGTCAGCTTCACTCATATTATTGTGGCAAATTTCTACTACCAGCCCTTCATCACCTTAAACGAAATACGGAGAATACATCTCATATAGCTGATTTACTGGTAGTCTTGAAACTCTACTTGTATACGAAAGATAAGTACAGAGTATAGAGTCATTTGCTTGCATAATTAAGTAAGAAAAAATCGGCAATCAGGCAGACCTATTTCAACCAAGGGGAGCCGGTGGATATCTTTTTAAGCCAAACATAGAAGTTTCAATTGGAAAGAGCCAGATGGAACAGTGAAACTAACCAATTGAAA